TGTGTGTGTGTGTGTGTGTGTGTGTGTGTGTGTGTGTGTGTGTGTGTTCCTGGCAGTTGCAACAGCTTGTGCAAAGTCTTGGAGGCTTGGAGGCAACAGAAGAGAGCATGGCATCTGGAGAGACGGAAATGTGTTCAGAATGTCTAGAGCAGGGCTGTGCAATAGAATTCTCTGCTATGATGGAACAGTTCTATCTCTGTGCTATCCAACGTGGCAGCCACTAACCACATGTGACTATGAGCATTTGAAATGTGGCTAATGTGACTGTAGAACTGAATGTTTGATTTAATTTTATTGTAACTGACTTAAATTTAAATAGCCACTGTGGCTGGTGAACTTACATTGGACAGCACAGGTGTTTACACTGGAGTGTAGTGTGTACCTTCAATCTGAGATGAAGGTGGAGTGTGGAGAAGGGCATCCAGACTGCACCGGCTTGGTATGGACTTTGCCTTTTACTCCAAGTGTCGAGGGAAGCCACCAGCTGGGGGGAGGGGAGTTAGGTGATCTGGTTTTCAGTTTTGAAAGATCACTCTCGTTGCTGTAAGGAGAATCGATTATGGGGGTGTTGGGGACAGGAGTGAAGCAGGGAGACCAGCTTGAAGGCAGCTGTGGTCTCCCCGGCAGGGATGATAGTTGCTTGGATCAGGCAGAGATAGAGACAAATTGGTAGGTTTGCCGGGTGTGGGGATCCTGACGGCTTGGATTTTAGGAGTGAGGGAGAGGGAGGTGACCTAGGGCTGGATACTTACTTGGATGGTGGCTGCGTCCCCAAGTCCCAGCGCTGAGTCTGGACCAGGGCTGGTCTGGAAGGGAGGTCTAATTTCGAAGCCAAAGTCGGCCTCCTGTCCGCCCCTGCTGGCTGGTGCTGGAAGCGCCTTTAGCTCAGGGAAGGGAGGCAGCGGCCGTCAGGGCCCCTGGCTGGGGACCTGGGGGGCTGGGGGAAGGCCCCGGAAGGTCGGGTGGGCGGGGTGCATTTCCAGGGGGAGGTGCTGGGCTGAGTCTCTCCTCTCCGGGGGGCGTCCACATCAGCTCTCCCTGCCCTGCGACGGGTCCACGAGTTGCCAGGCTGAGCCACATGGCCGCTGGGGGGCAAGTGGTGGGAAAGGGGAGGGGCGGATGTCCGTGCAGTGGGGTGAGTCCCCTCCCCGCCCCATGCGACACGCCAGCTCCCCCCGAGGCAGGGCCCCGCACCCAAGGGTTGCCTCAGACTGCCCCCCCGCATCTGGGGGCCTCAGCGGCAGGCAGTGGGGTGGGGGCGGGTGGGAGGAGGGGCGTGTCTCCCCAGAGAGGGTGTGGCCCATGGTCCGGAGGGTCAGTCTCCCGGCCAGCGGGTCCTGCCGCGGGAGAGCTGACCCCGCTGCGGCCAGGCGCGCGGGCCGGGTGGGCTGAGCGTGCGGAACGCCGACGGACCCAGCTGGCTCGCGGGGCTCCCAGCCACTCCGCGCCCCCTACGCACTTCCTCGGCAGCTCCGCCGCCCGCCCGGACGCGCCGCGCGCAGCCTCCGCCGAGCCGGTGAGTCAGGGATGATGCGGGCTTCCCAGGGGCCCGGGCCCCGAATCCTGACGGTGAAGGGTGGCGGCCGGGAAGCCTGGGTGGGCGCCTTGCTCCCCCAGCCCTGAGCCAGGGTCTTCGAGGGGCTCCGGCTCTCTTCTCCACCTGGCCTACCAGATCCTTCCTCCCCGGCCGGGAGGATGGGGGGTCCGGTGGTGCAGCGGCTGGGCAGACAGCTGTTGCTGCGGAGACTTGGGAGCAGGGCTGGGAGGCAGAATGGTGAGGGGCTGGGGACATCAGCCAGGCTGAATGGCGTGTGGCCCGGGAAGGACGCCCCAGGGTGGGCAGAAAGACGCGAGGTCGAAACTGCATGATGAGGCAGTCGACAGGCCCTGGCATCTCCTGCTGCTGTGGGAAGATGCCCCCCGCCGGCCCCCCGCCCCCCCCGGGGCTGAAGCTGCGCCGAAGATGGTCCAGGCCCTGACCCTCCCACCCTCCGCTTCCCGTCCCCAAGCTCTGCTCCGCTCCCTGCCCCTTCTCCTCCCTGCCAGCCCCGCTGTCTCCCCCCTCCCCAGCTCTGGACTCATTTTCCTTCTTTCTGCCCATCCACTGGGGGGGCCCCCCCGGGGCTTCCCCCTCCCCGCCCTGGGGCCGCGCCCTGGCGAGCGCTGGCGGCTGTGGTTTCAGCTCTCCCGGGAGGGTGAGCTGAGCTCCCCAGCCTGGCCTCGGGCCGGGCCTAACGGGGAGCTGCTGGGCGAGGGGGGCTTGGGCACCAGCGAGGCGTCTCCCTCCTGCTGTGAAGCCCCTAGAGACCCTAAGGCACACCGAGGTGGCACTCCTCAGAAACTGCAAGTATAGATGGGCCCTGAAAGGTTTTGAGAACTGCAGAGGAACC